TCAGACCATACGGCAACTTGTGTCTGTGCAGGGCTGCGTTGTACGCCCTTTTTGTCCGTGGGCACCGGCCATTCAAGAATTGCAGAAACGTTTTGAGGATCCATCGCAACCCCAGTGGTGGAGATAATCAGCCCCAGAAATGCAATACTGTGCTGCTCAAAACTGCATTTGTCTGCCTTAGCGTATAACCCATGTTGGCGTAGACGCTCCAACACACTTCTAACATGACCCCTATGGGACTCCAGGGAAGACGAGAAAATTAGAATATCGTCTAAGTAGATGACAACAAAAATGTCCAGGTAGTCCCTAAACACTTCATTGATGAAGTGCTGGAACATGGCTGGGGCGTTACAAAGTCCGAAGGGCATAACGAGGTACTCGAAGTGCCCAAATCGAGTATGAAACGCGGTCTTCCACTCATCCCCCTCTCTTATGCAGACCAGGTTATACGCGCCCCTCAAGTCTAACTTAGTAAACAGTACCGCTGACTTTAACCTCTGAAAAAGCTCTGGGACTAAAGGGAGGGGATAGCGGTTCTTAACCGTAATTTTATTTAAGTCCCGGTAGTCTATGCATGGTCTTAAGGACTTGTCTTTCTTCTCCACGAAAAATATTCCAGCACCGGCTGGCGAAGTGGAGGGCCGAATGAACCCCTTCCGTAGGTTTTCATCTATGTACTCCTTGAGTACCCCCAGTTCCTGTTCTGACAAAGGGAATATCCGTTCAAATGGGATCTCAGATCCGGGCAGAAGGTCAATGGGGCAGTCATAGGTCTGGTGGGGAGGAAGAATGTCTGCCCCCCGCTTACTAAAGACATCTAAGAAGTCATGATAGGCCGGGGGAATAATTTGGACTAACTCGGCGTCTCCGTCTAAAAGGGAAGGGGCTGGGGAGCCGAGGAAGTCGGGGCGTGACAGTGTTCCTGGCAGTAAGGTGACCGGAACTGGATGGTCCCGGTTTTCCAATCAATCTGGGGATTGTGGGCCCGCAGCCACGGAAGTCCCAGAATGATTGGAAATAATGGGGACGCAATGGCGTCCAGTTAGAGAAACTCCTGATGATGATTGGTCACTGTGGTGCAAATAGGTGGGGTTTGCCGGTCTACTACGCCTGACTTAATGCGCGACCCGATGGCTAAGAAGATATTTAACCTTGATTCCCTGTTCTGGAGGGGGATTCTCTGTTGCGTGGCAAAATCCAAATCAATAAAACAACTACATGCCCCAGAGTCAACAATTGCTGTCGCTGACACGGTTCCTCCTGGGAGCTGCAAGGAAACGGGCAACGCTAAGTAAGTTAGATGACTAGCATGTGAAGCAGATACAGAGGAAAAAACAGTGTGGCACTTACTCATTTTCGCTGGGCAAGAACGAACCATGTGACCGGCTTCCCCGCAATAGAGACACAGGTTATTCACCCGTCGTCTCTAGCGTTCTTCCACTGACAGAGATGGTCGTGTCATACCGAGCTGCATGGGTTCAGGGGGTCATCATATTCCATGCTCCGGTTCCCTCCAGGTGGCGGTTGAAGAGGAGCGTGAGGAAGTACCCATGCAGGCCTCTGACCCTGGTTGGACTTTTCTGCCCTGCGCTCACGTAGTCTGCGGTCAATTTGAACGGACAGGGTGATGAGGTTCTCCAATGAATCAGGAAGGCCCACCCTGGCCAACTCATCTTTAAGGGACTCAGATAGACCCATCTGAAATTGGTGACGTAAAGCAGCGTCATTCCATTGGGTGTCCCCCATCCAGCATCTGAACTCAGCGGCGTATTCCTCCGCTGCCTGGCGGCCCTGCCTGAGGGCGTACAATGCTGTTTCTGCGGAGGCAGTGCGATGCGGGTCGTCATATAAGACTGCCATCGCATTGAAAAACCCAGTTACCGTTTCCAGCTGGGGGTCCTGGGTTTCCAGTAGTCGGTGGGCCCAGCCCTGGGGTTCATCCTGGAGCAGCAAGACGATGAACCCCACCTTCACTGACTCGGATGAAAATGTCCGCGGATGTAACCTGAAGTACAGCAGACATGCATTATGGAGGGCCCTGAATTTGGCCCGATTGCCATTAAAGCGTTCCGGTAGAGGCACATGGGGTTCCCGGAGGGGGCAGAGAGACCGTTGCCCCGGAAGGAGGTCCTGAAGGTTCTTCTGCTGCGGCAGGAGGGACTGGATTCTGGACCGCGGTGGCTGGTGCGGCCAGCATCTGGACACGGCCCTCAAGGTGCGTGTACCCTTCTTGTAATACCTTGACGGCTTGAGATAGAGCCGACAGGTGCTGACAGATTTCCTCCAGCGGGGTCAATCCTCTTGCAGGCTCCGTCATGGCCGTATGGTTCTGTTATGGACCACCTGGTGTGCTCTAGCAGTCCACAGGACAGGATTCCCCCAGGGCGCGCAGTCTAAGCCTCAGTCCGCTTGTTCACCAGAGGTAATGACAGGTAGAGAGCCTGACGTGAAGAGGCAGACAGGTCTGGAGAGTAGCAGCTAATCCGTGCGGGTCGGATGGATGGCTGAGCAATAGCGCGGTCAAACGGGCGAGGTCGGTAACAGAGGGGTCAGCGTAGTACAAGGCAGCAGGCAGAAGAATAGTCAGGTCACTCGCCGGGGTCGGTACCAGTAGTTCAGATCAGGTAGGGATATCCAAAAGAGAGGTCGAACTTAGCCAGGGGTCAGAGCAGGAGAAGTCAGCAGGGGTCAGGTCCAGGCAGGTCAGACACAGGTTTATCTGTGTCTTGTATTAAAAAATATCCATTGCTGCAGAAACTAGTACCTTAATGAGGTCAGACTGAATATTGTATAGAATGAGTCTGTGAATGGTGGTGAGCTGCTGCTGACACCTACCACACCCAAATTAAAAGACTGTCTGAATTAATGGAAATAAAGACATTGCTCTGCTCTTACCCATAAAATGTTGTATAAATGTGAAAAAACAGTGGGTGCCTCCTCCACTGTAGTACGCACTGTTTTTTCCTATAGAGATAGGAATTTTGCACAACCGGAGCACTTGTCAGCACTTAAGAATATTATTTATTAGTGGGGGAGGCACCCACTAGTTGTTTGAGATTTATAGGTGCTGATTCATTCTATACAATAAGTAAGTGTGTGCAGTGCTGTTGGATAAGATTTTTCATCTGCAGTTAAAAAAGAGCATATGCCCAAGCATGGGGGCCTGGGGTGGCCAGTGGGTGGATGGCCCCTATGCTTCGACATATTTTTCTTTTTTTAATTTTGGCAGAGATTTCTTCATCCACGTCGATCGATGTGAACAGAGGAATCTACTAGGTTCTTTTTTTTCATTCAGCCCACGGGCTTTATGTACAGTATTGCATGACTACACAATAGTCAGTTAAACTAGCGCAGAGCTGTATAGTAAAAAATGGCGTAAATTGCAGTATATATACCATAGTTTGTAGATGCTATAATTTTCACACAAAGCAATTAATATACACCTATTGGGATTTTTTTTTACCAAAGACATGTAGCAGAATACATTTTGGCTTAAATTTATGACTAACTTTGAGTTTACTATATATTTTTATAAACTAAATAAAAAACCCAGAGGTGATCAAATACCAACAAAAGAAAGGTCTATTTTTGTAAAAAAAAATGGACATAAATTTTGTTTAGGTACAGAGTTGTATGACTGTGCAATTGTCATTTGAAATAGTGCAGCACCGTAACACAAAATATTGCCTGGTCAGGAAGGGGGGCAAATCCTCTGGAGGGCAAGTGGTTAAACCGCTTATACATGGATCAAAATTCGGCCAGTTCAGCAGGGAGTGGCTGAATTCCGATCCGTGTATGGGCAAACTGGTTGGTCAGTTGATTTATGGTTGGACAGTTGATCTATGTCGGGTTTTTCCTGAATGATCAGTGCTAGCAGCTATAGCTAGCAAAACTGATCCTTGTATTCTGTGGTTTGGGAAGGCGCCCTGCTGGAAAAATACAATAGCACAGTGGAAATGATTTCCCCATTCACATTGAATGTGTGGATGGAGGAAGCAGTTTTTCGTTCAACCTGCTGGATTAACAAAAAAAATTAATCATGTAGGCCTGCATTATCTGAACAAAGCAAGCCTCAATGCCAGTAACTGTTGCTGTACTATCTATTTAGAAAACTCATAGGGGTTGATTTACTAAAACTGGAGAGTTAAAAATCTGGTGCAGCTGTGCATGGTAGCTGATCGGCTTCTAACTTCACCTTGTTCAGTTAAGCTTTGACAGAAAAAAAACCTGGAAGCTGATTGGTTTCTATGCAGAGCTGCACCCAACTTTGGACTCTCCAGCTTTAGTAAATCAACCCCATTGTGTTCTGGGAATCCCTTGTTATGTAATAAATATTGAACTGCAGAACAAAGATTGCATTCAAATAGTAAATAGTAGAAATCAGTTAAAATTTATAAACAAAATAAAATTGATCAAAAACATTGTAGTTTCCTGTAAATGTTTATTTTATATGTATACAGTATGAGTACAGTTATACATATACAGGCTCTTTTTCCTGTTTTTCAGTGCTATACCATTACTGTGTTTGACTGTTCCTTCCCTCAATGCTATTCCAGGTCCTGAGAAAAAATTCAGGCTGATTTTATAAAAGAGCAGAAGATTTTCACTTTGTAAATAGTTGGTTGATATGTATAAAGTTCATTTTCCTATTTAATGTGGTAGCTTTGTAGATAAAAGTTTCTCTTCTGTGACTGCAATATATTCTGGTCCCATAATGATTTTCATGTGTATTATTTGTATCTTTTCTCCAATTTTAGTTTCAAAAATCCAAGCCAAATACAAGGGGTGTTTAGGAAAAAGAGCTTTCCTGAAAAAGAAGAAAGCAGGTACTTATGGATTTCTGCTCTTATTTCCTTACTCAACTGAAATGTCTATTTAACCGCCTCCCACCCGCCATATAGTACAATGATGGGTGCAAGGCGGTTTTCTCGTTCTGGGAGTGCATCATATGACGTTCTCCCATTCTAACCGCGCATGCACGGCTCCGGGAGTGAGAAGCGCGGCGATTGGCGCTGCGCTGTGTGCCTCGGACACAGCAGATCACCGATCAACGGTTAGAGCCAAAGATGTCGGTTCAGTCATGTGATCAGCTGTGTCCAATCACAGCTGATCGCATGTAAATAGGGAAATGCCGGTTATTGGCATTTCTCTCCTCACGAGCTGTCACGCTGACAGAGGAGAGCAGAGGAGAGCCGGTAATCGGCATTCCTCAGAGGGGACATCTACACTGATCATCAGGGCACTGATGATCAGTGTGCCCTGATGATCAGTGTAGCCCCAGCAGTGCAACCTGTCAGTGCTCATCCATGCCACCTGCCAGTGCCACATCAATGCCACATTTCAGTGCCTACCAGTGCACATCAATGCCACATATCAGTGCCCATCTGAGCTGCCTTTCAGTGTCTACCCGTCAGTGCCACCTATCAATGCCAGTCAGTGCCACCTATCAGTGCTGCCAATCAGTGCCAGCCAGTGCCGCCTATCAGTGTGCATCAGTGCCGCCTATCAGTGCCCGTCATTGCTGCCTATCAGTGTCGTCTAACAGTGTCAGTCAGTGCAGCCTATCAGTGCCACCTATCAGTGCCATATATGAGTGCTGCCTTTCAGTGCCCATCAGTGATGCCTGTCAATGCCCATCAGTGCCACCTACCAGTGCCTCCTCGTCAGTGCCCATCAGTGCCAGCTATCAGTGCCGATCACTGCAGCCTCATTAGCGCACATCAGTGAAGGAGAAAAATCACTTATTTACAAAATTTTATAACAAAAACTAAGAAAAAATGTTTTTTCTTCAAAATTTTCAGTGGTTTTTGGTTTGTTTAAGAAAAAAGAAAAAACCCAGAGGTGATTAAATACCACCAAAAGAAAGCTCTGTCACAAAAAAAATGATAAAAATGTCATATGGGTACAGTGTAGCATGACCGTGCAATTGTCATTCAAAGTGCAACAGTGAAAGCTGGAAACTGGCCTGGACAGGAAGGGGGTATAAGTGCCCTGTAGGAAAGGGGTTAAAGGATACTCAGCTCTCAGAAAATGTAACAAGAGAGATAAGGGCAGGGGAAAAGTACATTTTCCATCTTTCAGTTACTAATGTTGAAAGTTGGGAAACAAACTAATACCCATTAAGTATAAGCCAAGTAGTATTATATGGTTATCTTCATCTGAATATCATTATTCATGCATCCTGTCCTACCTCTAATTAATATACCGTATTTCCTTCTAAATAAAATAGAAGTGATGCCAGATTCATGGAGATATTTAGAATCCCTGATTCCAAACACAAATTTTAGCACTTTTGTTCTTCACTATAAGTAGCCTTGTGTCAAAATGTAAAAAGGAAAACAATAGAGATAGGCAATCCATTCATGAATCCTAATGAGTCAGTTGGATTTGCATACATCGATCAGCACATAGATATTCTTATTTAATCAATAATATGTCTGAAAATATGGACTCTAGCAGCACTATCAGGGGATGTTGAAACTTACTGGTTACAGCAGCCCTAGGATTTTGGTCACCCAGGCTGCTAAACATGCATTTACAGGTATGTGCAGGCATTATTTGGTGGCTGCATTGTATGTTTGTAGCCTGTCAGTACCATTTGGGAATGCAAGTTTAGGAAAGAGGATTCGTTAAGAGTTTCATGTTTTAAATAAATTAATGGGTACTGTATTTATGTACTATATGGTGAAAACCTGTGCTTTCAGTGTTGACCTATAACAATGGATATCTTTCTCACTGTTTAGTTTATCAATGCATGATACTGCACAGTATGTCAGTAGATCAAAATTATGAGTATGTTGTAGATTATGCCAACTGTGCTCATTATATTTTACAGCTATCAAGCTTGAATCATGCTGGAGAGGTGTTCTAGCCCGCCGGGCTGCCAGGAAGCGTACATGGGCAGCTCAGACAATAAGGAAGTAAGCAAGAATAAATATAGTATATGAATGCTGTTTTTATATTGTAGGCCAGTGGTCCACAAACTTTTTCAAACAGGACAGTTCACTGTCCACCAACATATTATGGGGCTGGACTGTGGTCAGTAGGAGTTAAAAAAAAGCCCAGCATCATCAGAGGTTGAAGTAAAAATGTCAATTCGTAGATATTGAATGGGAGTAAAAAATTCTCCGCTTTAGCGGTCAGTGGGAGTGAAACATGCCCCTATATCAGTGGTAAGTGGGAGAACAATATATCCTGGCTTTGGAGATCAGTGAGAGTAAAAATGTCCCTCAATCAGTGATAAATGGAAGTAAAACTGCTTCTTGGCTGGTGGTCTGTGGAAGTAAAAAAATGCCTCTATGTTGGTGCTCAGTGGAGGTACAAAATGCTGCAGTATCAGTGTCAGGGAGTACAAATGCCCCTACATCAGTGAGAGTAATAAAATGCCTCTGCATCACCAATAGTAAAAATGACCCTAAAAATGATCAGTGGGCATATAAAATGCCCCTATGTCAGTAGGAATAAACAATACCCTTAAATCAGTAGCCTGTGGGAATATAAAAAATGCCACCACATCAGTGGTAGTAAGAAGTACTCCTACTTCAGTGGTCATGCCCCTACATCCAGGGCTGCTGTTAGAAATCACTGAGCCCTGTACAGCCTACCTGACAACCTCCTTCCCCTTTCCTTAACATATCAAAACAATATTTTCACTGAAAATACACTAAAATCATCATTAGCGGATACAAACATAAAATAACTTACAAAATTCCTGCTAAATTTAAAAGATAAAACTGTATTGAGTTCATAACAGGTTCTGTGTGTAAATTAGGTCTTGGGGGTGATTCACATAGGTTCTGTGGCCTGTACAGTGTGAATCGTGTTTTTCTTTTTTTTTGTGGCTATTGCTGTGTACAGGCAGCCTATGTTACGCTATGGGGATGCAGCAGCTGTATGAACACAGCCTCAGATCCTCATTTGACAGGCATGTGGATGCAGGTGTATGGCCCCTGCATACTGGCAGTGTGCATTCTAACAATATCTGCAATTATTGTTTTGTAGTTATTGAACAAATAGAACATTGTCAGTGGTATTATTAGCGGACAGAAAGGGAGTAAATAAAAGAAGTTAATTGTTAAAATGGATCACTTTACTTTCCCACCTTCCTCTTTTTTTTTTATAACCCCTGTTTACCTTGTGGTGTTCACTCACTAACTATCCCAATGAATGCAGAGTTGTCCTGCTGAAATCCTCTTCTCAGCAGCTGTTGTGTATTGAAGGCAGGACTGAACCCTTTTTCAGAAAAAAGTGTGGAAAAAAAAAACGAAAATTCAGGAAGTGAAGTGGAAGAGGGGTGGATAGGAGGGACTCAATGCAGGTCTTCACCCCTCACCAGGGTATTGCTTCCTCTCCACCCCTCCACTGTGCAAATCAGGCATTCTTTACTTTCTTTTTGTTTATGCTTTTTTTAAATGAAAGTTCTGAAGACATAGTCCTTCATTGAGAAAGGAGGAGGGGGGTAGGGTCAGGCAGCGCATCATCAGGAAGCTGCCAGCTGAACCCGGATGAGCCAGAAGCTTCCCAATGACTTCACCAAAGAAGATGGCGGTGTGGGCCCAAACGCGGGGCGGAAAAGAAGCGGACCTCAGCAAGACAACACTGGATCCGCTGGGCAGGTGAGTACCTTAAACCAGGTAAGCAGAGTTTAAAGAAAAAAGGGGCGGGCGAAGGTGGAGATCTGCTTTAATTTAAGGGTGATGATCTGTTTTAAGATTTACATATATAGGGAGCCCTGTATAGTGAGCTAAATAGACCACTAGATGTCACCATAGTTGAGGTCAGGAACCCTTTTAGTGAGATTAGACAGTGCAAGAGCTTAGGTAGTCGTTACAGATCCATTCCATTGTAGGCCATCTGTGGGTAATACGATTCTGTACAAGTAGTCTGGCAAAATTGGCTGTCTAGGAAATCTATGAGGTTCTTACTCTGGGAGGTTCCCCTTAGGGTGAAGGCAGGGATGAAAAGGCATAATACTTTTTGGACTACTCACCTCCCGTTTGCATGGGATGAAGGACTTTGGCAAACCTCAAAAGGTACAAGGCTCCTTGACTTGGCTCTCTGCTTGTTATTTCTCCATTTATCATGGGGAAGATATGGAATGGGCTACTGGGTGGTACTAGTTAGGCCAGACTGGGGGTCCCCTTGGGGTGCTTATGTATTGGCGCTCAGGGGAGGCCTTGCCTATAGAAGCTTAGTGAGTTTAAGGAGACCAATCTATACTAGGCAGAAAGGAATTTAAGAGCTTACATGCTCCCCCACCACATGGCTGCACACATGGAGGATATGCAGCTCAGCACATGTCTATGGTGGAACACAACACATGCACTTTAAATAATGAATGAGAGTTACAAAATTGGATACTTTTATTCAAATCCTTCTAAATACATCTGTACTTGTAAGCACATCTATAGATGACCTAGGTCAGCTTCAGTAAGGTGGCCATAGACTGGTAGATATCTGCTTGAGAACAATGGATGGGGAGATTGCCTGTTCTTGAGACCCATGAGCACTGGTACCTTCTGTGAATCTTAATCAAGATAACTGCAGAGGGTACTTTGATCTTTGGAATGCATTACTGCTTTCAGGAAGATTTTACAACATTTTTTTAAAACTTCCCTAACAGAAAGCTCAAAAGTGATGATTGCAGGGAAAGCTTTAAATTGGGGCAGCGCTAATTATTATTGTATCATCTATGACAGGAGTCTCCAAACTTTCTAAACAAGGCACCAGTTTACTGTCCTTCAGACTTCAGCCTGTGGTAATTGATGTTAGTAGGAGGAATAGTGCTCCATTTTTGGTTTCAGTGGGAGGAATAGTTCCCCAATGTTAGTGTCAGTGGGAAGAATAGTGCCCCATTGTTGGTATCAGTGGAGTAATAGTGACCCATTGTTGGTATCAGTGGGAGGTATTAATGCCACATGTAAGTTTCAGGAAAAGTGCTCCGAGGGCTGAATATGGCCCAGGGGCCACAGTTTGTATCTACAACCTTAGTATTAGAACACTGTTTCATTTACAAACAATATCTAGGCAGAGCCATTAGAACATGGGTATAGTGTTCCATTCCCAGGTACCATTAACAGGCCTCCTGCCCTATTCTATGTTAGTGTGAGTCCCCACTCCCAGAGGGTGCCAAGTAGTGTACGTTGTGCATTCACCAGCACATGAACATTACTATGCCTGACATTTCACCGCACACACCTTCCTGGCTGAGCCAGGTTCTAATTTCAAAGCTAGGCCATTGGTAGTGAGAACAGACAAGTCCAGTAGATTTTTAACACTTTATTTTTGCAGCTTCAAGGTAGACAGCTTCAGGACACACAACTTCAGGGCATATGTCTTCTCAATTATGGTAACGGTCGTCTGCACTTTCCTAGGTTGTGCCATCTATGTCATGCCCCCATATCCCTTCTATCCAGGACACCAGGACCTCTTCAGACATTCCCCAGCCATGAAATACCAACCACCATAAGCATTTCATCTCTGTAGAATAGGTGCCACCGAGTCCCATGGGGACTAGCTCTGGAGTCCCAATCCTGTTCTCTCAGATTCCCTTCCTGGACTCCTCCTAAACTCTAGGTTAACCCACTATTTCTTTATGGGGAGTCGCCACCTAGTGGCCAAATTTAGAAAATTGTATTAACACCCCCTTACAAGTTGTTTCAGTAATTGAGAACCATCATATAACATTTTTTTGCATACTTAATATCAGGATCTACAGACTAACTATTTCATTGTGTGTTTACAATTTGTGCAGGCTGTTGCCATATTATTGCCTAAGGCTTATCTTTAAAAAAAAACATTGTTTCTGCTGCTTGTATAAAGATGGTGCATATTTTCTTTCATATTCAGGTATATTGTTGGCTTTATCAACCGAAATCAGTCTCCCAATGATGAGAATAGAAACTTCCTCCGCCTAATGTATTACAACTACCTCTGCAGACTTAAAGACCATGTGCCTAAAAATGTCTTGGACAAGAGTTGGCTGACCCCCCCATCGGCTATGGGAAAGGTATCATTAGTGCTTTACTATAATAAATCGCACATATCTTAAAACATATTCAAGTTCTTATAAAGCATAACTGCTTAGTAGAGAGAGGATCTGCTTTCATAGGATGAAGGGTGGGGAGGGGCATTAGAGAAAGATGGAAGCATCAATGTAAAAACACACTGCAAGCTTCATATTGTATGTTTTATTAGGGGATAGTGCAAAGTGAAGTAAATGCTGTAATGAGTGCTAGTGTGTTTCAGAATCTGGGTCTTCAGGAAACATTTGATTAGCATTTTGATAATAAAGTGAGTTAGATTTATTGTAGAATGCTTCAGTTTCTTTTGTGTCTTGTGGAAGCAGCTGCCATTTTTAAATTTCCTTAACATTTGCAACTAAGCCATTTGAAGTGTTACTAAACCCAGGACCCTACATCCACTATATCTGATCTCCCACAGTACACAGAACATGGAAATGCAAGTATTTTAGTAAATATAAACTACTATATACCTTCTCTCATCAAAAGTTAGAGCAGTCTTGTGACCTCTATCAGTGTCCAGCCCAGCACTAGCTAAAGCTTGTAGGAGGAGTTTTCTTTTTGCTCCAGGAGGATGCAAAACCCCTGACCTCTGTCTGGACAGTGCTGATTGGCCCTGTGCTGATCACATGCACTCTCCAAAGAAAAGAAAAAAACTCTCTAGCAATACACACCAAACTGAGCATGTGCAAAATGCCTACGGTTCAGTCTGTCTTATCAGGAGATAAGAGGTGGTCGCTTGAAAAAGGGGAGGAACAGAGAAGGAAGGATCAAACGGCCTTTTTACACAATGCAGAGGATTAACCCCTTAGGTTCCACAGTGAGTATAACAAGCATGCTTTACTGCATATACAGGTTAATTTTACTGTTGTGGGTTTAGTAACACTTTAACACACTTTGAGCAATATTTATCAAGAACATTGGATGTAGATGCAAATCAGGCTGCCTTTCAATTAGCAGAGGGTATGTAACAGTTTTTATGTGTGTTTGCGACTTCTTCACCTGTAATCCTAAGCAGCAAACTGTGACAGGTCTGCAACAGATTTACCACTAGATGGTTCAGATTTTCACTAATAAAAACTTGCACAATTAAGAAGTAGTTAGGGGTAGATTTTTTTTGTAGCAGTGCTGCTCTTGAGCTGCTTTGGGAGGAACTTATGAATGTAGTGGTCTAATTATCATTTATTCTGTCCCAAGTCTGTCTTAAATCTATTTCATTCAGGGGCGGACTGACCATTTGGAAACTCGGGCACTGCCCGAGGGCCTGAGGTCAGTAGGGGGCCCCATGAAATGCCCTTGGTACCTTTATCATAGGCTTTTGAGTTTGGGCAAGGACACAGGGGCCCCATGATCCCCTATTGCTCGGGGGCCCAATGAGTTGTCAGTCCGCCCCTGATTTCATTGCTTCATTTCATCATTGCCTGACTGTGACAGAAGTAGTAAATGTCCCCCATTCTGTCTCCCAGGTTTCAGAAAAGCTTCATAAGCTGTGCATGAGAAATTTGGTGAGAAAATACTGCAGGTCGATTACTCCAAAGACAATTGAGCAGGTACAACATTTGCATTAGTTTATTTGTAGGATTTGGAAGAATTGGATTTCAATAGTATTTGTACTGATTTATTAATTTTTTTCTGTATATAAAGATGCAGCAGAAACTTGTAGCAAGTGACCTCTTCCAGGGGAAAAAGGAGGGCTATCAGCAAAGTATCAGCCAACCCTTTGAAGAGACCCGGCTAAGTGAGTGTGGTACGACAAGAATTTGATGCACGCAGTGAGCTGGCTTTTGGGAGGAGAAATGATAATATCAAAATGCTTTCATGGGTGGAATACTACACTCACACAGAGGGAGTCAAGCTAGCTAATAGTCATAAAACTGTTGGATAATGAGTGAGGAATCCCATGTCCAAATTAAGGCCGTTATCTCTTGTGTCAAATAGAATTTTCATTCTTAGTTCAAAAGTTTTTCTTTCCTGGATAGATTTGAAATTTCCTTTAAGAACTAAAATATTGAGGTCTCCCATTGTGTGGCCTGGTTGTGCAAAATGGTGTCCTACAGGTGTGCAGAGGTCATCTTCTTTATGTTCCTTAATGGTATGTCTGTGCAAATTCATCCTTGTTTGCAACTTCTGTCCTGTTTCACCAACATAAGATCCTTTGCTGCATTTTCTGCACTGGATAAGCTACACAACATTACTGGAGGTGCAGCTATATGAGCCAGAAATATTGAAGATCCCTTTTGAGTGTCTGACACTTTTTGATGAATTGATTTGGTTGCCCATCATAACAGGTATGAATACACTCATTGAACAAATCTCAGGCTTTGTAGAATTTTTTTTAAAACCGTTAGTAAAGAATACTACTAGTTTCCTGCAAGACACAACTGACTTTCTGAACAAGATCAACAACATACAGCAATTACCATCTAATACACTTCTAGTGACTATGGATGTAGTATCCCTGTATAGTAATATCCCTCACAAGGATGGATTAGCTGCATGTCACAGATCCTCACCAAACCACAAATACACTGCTGAGGATGTTACACAGCTCATTGAATTCATACTCACACACAACTACTTTGCCTTCAATAAAGACATCTATCTTCAATGTATGGGTACTGCAATGGGAAGTAAAATGGCACCCCAATATGCCAATTTATTTATGGCTGACCTGGAGGAAAAATTCCTGAAGAGTATGGAACAAAAACCATACAGATACTATCGCTATATTGATGATATTTTCATCATATGGACAGAAGGTGAAGAAAGCCTAAAACAATTTTACTCATTGATCAACACTTTTCATCCATCAATCAAACTAAAAATGGAATACTCGAACACACACGTCAACTTCCTAGACACCACAGTATACATCAGGGATGATACGCTTCACACCTCAATATACAGGAAACCCACTGACAGATGCAACTACCTCCACAGTTCCAGCTTCCACCCCCAACACACGAAACGTGCCATCATACACAGTCAGGCCATTAGATACCACCCAATATGTTCTGACCCAAGAGACAGAGATAAACATCTCAGGACACTAGCAGACGCCTTCCATAAGAAAGGTTACAAGGACAAAACTATCAACACCAGCATAAACACAGCCTTGAGAACCCGAAGAGAAAATCTACTTCAGTACAAAGAGAAAAAAAACAAACAACCGTGTACCTCTAGTAACCACATACAACCCAGCACTAGAAGGGATAAGAAAAATAATCAAAGATTTACAACCCATTATAACAGAGGATGGAACTCTGAAGGCCAGTATTGGGGGTTGCTGGAATATTTCTTTCAGACAACCATCCAACCTCAGAAATAAACTAATCAGTAGGAAACTTCCTTCTGATTATGATGTCACAAATAATGGAAGCACACCCTGCAATAAGAAACGCTGCAAACTGTGCAAACAAATCAATTCATCAAAAAGAGTCAGACACTCAAAAGGGATCTTCAATATTTCTGGCTCATACATCTGCACCAAAGATCCATTATCTCCTGCGCTCAAAGACTCAGATCAAACGGGCGTTAGTAACAAGCAGCGTGTTCATCCGCTGGTGATCAGAGGTTGTGCAGCTCTATCATGAAGCTGGGGAAGCTTGATAAAACTGTAGAAGAAGATGAAAGAAAGAGCGCACAAACCTTGCGCATTACCTCAATAAATAGTGACTAGTTTTATTATTAAGGAAATATACTCACAAAGTGATGGTATAACAGGCATAAGTAACCATAATCCACACAGGGTTACAGGTAAATCCAAAAGGGGGGGGGAATGAAGGCTAACGCGTTTCGAAGGGTGCTCCCTTCTTCATCAGAGCTGGGTTGAGCAGATAGGGACTTCAGTATGGCAGAGTTCCCATGGCAAGGAGACTTTCAGCCACTGAGTGTCAGTATTACAGCAGTTTAGCCTGTTTAGTGTCGACACTAGTGAAGAAGTGAGCACCCTTTGAAATGCGTTAGCCTTCATTCCCCCCCCCCCCTTTTGGATTTACCTGTAACCCTGTGTGGATTATGGTTACTTATGCCTCTTATACCATCACTTTGTGAGTATATTTCCTTAATTATAAAATTAGTCACTATTTATTGAGGTAATGCGCAAGGTTTGTGTGCTCTTTCTTTCATCTTCTCATACAGCTGCACCTCCAGTAATGTTGTGTGCCTTATCCAGTGCAGAAAATGCAGCAAAGGATCTTATGTTGGCGAAACAGGACAGAAGTTGCAAACAAGGATGAATTTGCACAGACGTACCATCAAGGAACATAAAGAAGATGACCTCTGCACACCTGTAGGACACCATTTTGCACAACCAGGCCACATAATGGGAGACCTCAATATTTTAGTTCTTAAAGGAAATTTCAAATCCATCCAGGAAAGAAAAACATTTGAACTAAGAATGATAATTCTATTTGACGCAAGAGATAACGGCCTTAATGTGGACATGGGATTCCTCACTCATTATCCAACAGTTTTATGACTATTAGCTAGCTTGACTCCCTCTGTGTGAGTGTAGTATTCCCCCCTCCCCCTCGCTTTGGCTGTATCTTATTTCTAGCCTCTCTCTTTTTTTTTTTTCTTTCATCTCTTCTAACATTCTACTGAAACTTTGTGATTTGAACAGTACTGCTTGGACTTTGAAGAAGGGGACATACCCTGAAAGCTTGTCCTCAAAATTGTATGTTAGTGCAAATAAAAAAAGTATCACGGACAGTACTCAATTGTTTTGGTCGCAAATGCACTAATACGGCTACAATCACCTCAAACATTTTTGTATTTAGTCTTTGTGTGCAATAAGAGGGGAGCACATTCAAACAGCTGCTGGGACTCATTTATTAGCTCACCCATAGCACAGGCAATAATCTTGTATTTGCATGTAGACTGACCTAGGAAACAACCATATGTAATGCTGAGCCTCCATGACTGAAATAATTCAAATCAAATTAATGAAAGGAGCAAGCAAGGGGCAGTACAGTTGGGAAGGTTGGGGAGGAAAGACCTAGATGATGCTGAATATCCTCCAGCTTGGAAGTAAGCTGGATTCTGATTTGCTTCAATGTCTAATACACACTGCGAGAAGCTCACAGTGTGCAGAAAATCAGAGTAAGCAATTTCAGTACAGGAGAAGAGCCTACACAGCTGTGCAAGACAGAAGGTAAGGATGAGTTCAGCTTTAAGCTAATGTTTGCTTGTTTAATCCTTTTAATTATCCCTTTGGTTTTATATAAAGTGCAAATTCAAACAGCTTGCTAGAAACTTTACACGATTGTTCTTTAAAATGTTTTTTTTTTTTGCTTGTTAATTGCAACACCAGATTTGTATTAGTTTGAGCACATGTAATCTTTTGTTGTGATTTGAATCTTAGGTGAGCAGGATCTCAATCCAAAACTGCTTATGAACATGTGCTATGACAAGATTAAGGTAAGGAGTCTGTAGTTGTACAAAGCTCATGCACCAGGAACTCTCTTTTTGATTATGTTTTTATACAAAATGCAAATGTGTACATGCATTGTACAAACCGTTTCAATGCAAAATGGGACCAATGGAATTAAAATGTGCATTTAACAGCAAAGCTATTCTTGCCTTTAAAAAGGTAGACACTGAAGCAAAGTAAATAAACTAGCAATCATTCAAGCCTTATACAATTATTGTTTGGTATGGGTTTCTGAATTTTTATACTTCATTGCTGCTTTTTGCCCACCCTATTTATTAAACTTTTGTAATCACAACTGATACAAAAAAATCACTCTTAAAGTGCAATGATAGTGACACAAAAGAAAATGCAAGCTTTCTACTGCATCCTGTAGGCAATCTGACATTCCTAATTTGTAAAGGAGGTCAATAATATCTAAAATTAATTTAAACCTTTGAGCACACATAAACAGATGATCTTTGTAATATATGTGTAATGTGTTTCCACATGTGATCAGTATGGCATTTCAGCAATCAAGTACGATAGACATGGATTTAAGACTCGATCTCGACAACTCCTGTTGACACAGACAAAACTGTATGTGACTGAAGAAGGCAAAATCAAGCAGAGGATTGAATACTCAAATATAAAAGGTAACAAAAATGCATCGTATTATTATTTGCAAATATTACATAGAGTACATCAAGGATACATTTTGCTCACAGCATTGAAAACTTTTCTTTCTTCAGACATTTTGATAAAAGTGGATGTCAGATCACAAACCTTTTTTCTAGTTTTGAATAGACTCAGGGTCAAAAATGGGGTTGTACTGATGTCTGGTGCTCCAATTGAGAGCTTTAGGCTCCAGGTACACTGCAACTGATAAACTCACGTTTAGGAGCTTTTCTGTGTTTTTTTTTCAGCAGTCCCTGAACTCTCCCTAATGTTTTCCTATGTGTCCATATACATTATGTAATTTACAGTCCTTTACAGGCAGTTGAGTTTACAGTCGTTTTTTTTAAGCGTTCAGGAGTATATTTTATCAGCGTTTCAAACGCCAAACGCTTGTAAACGCATGTGAACGTGGCTAACTGTGTTTATAAGCATTTGCATTTGGAAATTTTTTTTAACTCTTCCATTTTCAGATGCTGTCCAGAGCCTTTTTTTCATCATGAAAAATGCATGCAAAGCATTTTCCCAGTACTCAAATGGACCTGGTACACCATACTTTGAGGTTTCACATGAAAGAAAATATGTTAGACACTGCTGCAATAATTTCTGCACAGAAATGAGCTGGAACACATCCAAACACCACAAAAAAAAAGACAGCTAATCTCAAATCTCAACAAATACTGTTCTCTCTGCTTCTGCTCTCTCTATTTCTCTCAAAATGTCTTAAATAGTTAATTTTTTTACTGTTACTGTTTTTCAGTGCATTTGGGCATTTTGGAAGGTCTCCTGAGGTTATCTTTAAAAAACGCTTCTAAACGCAAACGCTCATAAAAGCGGTATGCAAATGCGGCTAAACATACGATTTTTAACCTACGTTTTCCAGCAGTCAGATTCCATCGTTCAGAAGTGTCTTGTGTACATGGAGCCTTACCCTCACGTCCTGTCTTGCTGACAATGTTTTCAGCACCCAGGAAGTAAGAAGGGAAAATCTGCAATTGCAAACAGAAAACAATCTTACAGAAGCTGGCTTTCCCGTAAGCTGGTTGCACACTAAAAGTTTTTCCTTTACCATACATCACGGGACAAAGAGCAAGCTATAATCATTACCCTCTGTGTTATGCACCAGCTATAGGTGAATGGACACTGGCAAACCAAAAACAGACAGGAAGTCCTCCCCTATATAATGCCTCCCATACAGGAAGTCCCTCAGTTTTTTTGCTAGTGTCTTCAAGGTGATGGTCATTGATGTTCAGCTCTCAGTGAGAATACTTGTGGTCTCAAAATTGTTCTAATAGCGACTGGATAGAATGGCTGGGTGCTAAAATGGATGGTACCCAAGCCCCATAGCAGAGATAAATGACCTGGTGAGGATTGCCTGTAATGCAGCTTTTTGGTGCTGGACCCTGCTTTACGGAACCCTGGCCAGTAAGCACTGATCAAGGAAGCTTCTGGCAGGGTATTATACAGGTCCAAGGCAGTGGACCCCGGAGCAGAAAAGGGGGACTGAGTCCATGAAGATCCTGAATGACTAAGCCCACCAAGATGGGTGAACATTGGATCTCTGTTTTTTTTTTTTTTTTTTAAACAGGAACCTACGGCAGGATTGGTAAGTTTTAGTGGCAGGGTAACTTTTAAATAATTTGGGGCTGTCAGGGGTCCTTCTCTTTGTTAGCAACTAGGTAGTAGGTGTGCTCACATTATGAATATGCATATGCAGTATGCTCACAGTGGATTCAGTGATCTCTTGTCTTAGTAAACATCTAACTTGTCTAGATTTTTAGGACCCAGCTGACAGGAGGCTGGAATCTATTCTGAAAGTTTCTTTTTCTTTTTCCTTTTCTGGCTCTGCTATGCAACCCACTGTGACAGCCATTAGCGTTTGCCAGAGCCTGGAATAGACAGAAAAAAAACACCTCAGGCTGTGTGGTTCGTGGCTCTAGCCAACAGATTATGCATTAAGCTCTGTTGTCAGTTCCCAGACGCAGGGTTCTGTGGTTAAAAAGCTGGTCTGCTGAGCCGTCCTGTAAAAAAGTGGTTGGTGGGCTTTGCTTTTCATGGAGAATGCCTGTTGGTGAGTAGTGATGGGCTTCACGTTCATGTGATGGGCTTCATGTTCAAGTGGAACGTAAGTTCCACTCGAACAAGGGCCATTCCTGTGTTCACTGAACACATGAATGGTAAGGGCATTCGGCGGGAGCAGGCGTAGAGAGAGCGGAGCAGTTTTTTTTTTTTTTTTGTGTCGGCGGTGTCTGCAGGCATAATGATTGACATTGGATCTACTGCGGGGGACATTATTTAAATTTTTGCTGGTAATAAAGGACTTGTCAAAGACTGTCTCCTGTCATTTTTTACACTACACTTTTTTTTGTGAATGGGTGGGGGGAATGGGATCTGGGGGCCCCCTTGTTACAGGACACTTTTAGATTCCGATAAGCTCCATGCCCGCAGACCTCCACAACCACCAGCCAGGGTTGTGGGGAAGAGACCCTTGTCCCCAACAACATGGGGGCAAGGTGCTTTAAGGAGGAGCTCCCATGCCCCAAAGCACCCCCCCCCCCCATGTTGAGGGCATGTGGCCTTGTATGGTCCAGTTTTTTAAATTTTGGTGTGGGGGGTTACCCTCAAAATCCATACCAGACCCATAGGGCTTGGTATGGATACGCTGTTTTTTTTAAAAAATATTAAATTGTCGGGCAATGTCAACATTTCTTTTGACATTCAGCTGTCAGCAGGGAACCCCGCTGACAGCTGAAACATTAAAGAATGTTTCACTACTAAAATAGCGCATGATTTAATAATATAACTCGTGGTTTTTTTAGTCGCTGAGCAGTATCTTGCCACATACTCAGATGCGGTGAGATACCGCTTAGTAAATTGTCCCAGTTCGCAGTCGAATGTTCGGTAGGTCCAAATGTTTAACCATGAACTGAACAGGGGGGTGCTTGGCCCATCACTATTGGTGAGGATTGGACAAAATACATCCAGGAGATCTCTGTGGAAAGAGTTCCCTTTCTGGCACCTAAAAAGAAGGGCAGATGTCCGGTTTACAGAGGAACAGTTACTTCGCCAGTTGGTACCTCATCATCCAGGCAGTCTTTTTAGCACCCATAGGCATTTGGATCCAGAGGGAAAACACAGGGCCAGAGGGCTGGCCATAGCTCCAGAAAAAGGCCTGTCTCTGAGAAATCAGGTCCCAGAAGCTAAAATAGGCAAAAGTTCCTTCAATATGTCTTTTCCATGAGCTGTGTCAGGGACCATCGCGACGCATGGGTCTACACTTTCGTAGGTGTCTGTCAAGACATGCAGGCAGCAGGGCACTAGGTCCCAGGCGCACCCGTCGCCTATGATGGTGCTGGGCAGGCACTAGGACCTAGGCTGCGCCTGTC